GTTTTTGTCATTTATGCATACAAATGAAAAGAAACAAGGAAAGCAGGGTAAAAGAAGCAAGAAAAGCACTACTTTTTGTATTCATTTTAGCATCTCCTTTCTATTCCTTCTCAAAATATGTATTTTAGAGTTGCCTTTATAAAGGACATCTAAAATGTTTTAAACCATTCTTCCCACACTTATAAAATAAGAATGGATAAATGAAATCACAACTAATGGTCTCTCCCCATCTGGAGCAAAGATCCTTGGAAATATTGAGCCTAGTGGGCTACTAGACCATGGGGGCCTCAGTCCTCATAACCCTGAGGCCAGAAAAAATGCTGACTGCTCTGAAAGAGAACATGGTAGAAGGTTCTGGAACAAAACTCAAAATCATTAAAAAAAAAAGGCCAGGCTCACTAGTTTGAGACTGGTGGAACCCATGAGACTATGACCCTTGGTTACTCTTCAGGCCTTGAATTAAACTTACACCAATGGCTCACTTTTCGGCCAAACAACAGCCAAGTCTGCAAGGTGAGCATTAACACAGGAGAGGTCCATATTCCTTAGCATAGTCAACCATTTTAGATCAAAAGGGAAGCATTTGTTCAGGGACAAAGACCAGAAAGCAGGAGGGATTAGAAGAGGAGGAGGAACGGAAACAGAAAACACAGGGATAAGTGATGGCATGCTGTGGGGACTATAATCAATGCCAGCAAACAAAATGTGTGTGAACTGTTGAATGGAAAACTGATTTGCTCTGTGAACCTTTACCCAATGTACAACAAAGAGACTAGGGGTGAAAAAAGAAGAATAACTGCAAGGGGGCTTAAAAAACATTTATGGATGTATGGAATTAAAAGATACGAATTTTTCCATGAACTTCATACACACAGAGCGAGACTACTGTTCATGGGTGGTAACCAATGGTAGGTGGAACTGGAGGCAGAATCACTCTCTAGATTGTAGATCCTTGTCAGTTTTGGTGACTGGAAAAGTAACACTGAATGTGGGTGTAAGTGATGAGCACAATTTGAGCAAAGTAAATAATGCCACTAAGACAGACAAAAGAGACAAGGATGTTTGTGCTAAAGAATCAGGCATAGTTTGGCAAGACCATTAGCAATAACCAAAACAAGAGGTGATTACATATGTATGAATATAGGCATAGATGTGTACAGGTAGGTATAGATATGCATATATGTGTGTACAGATAGTATGTGGTATTACACTCATGTATAAGCTCATATGTATGTATACACTCATGTAGACATACAGAAGGCACAGTTGTATAGATATTCCTCACATATAACCAAACATCTTGAGAGGTTGGTTTTCAGGGTGTGAAGATTTAGGATCTTAGTCTCACGGGAAAACTCGGTTAATTGACATAATACAGTTCACGAAGTTCATATTCTGTGTCCCAGTGGACTGTCTGGGGTCTTAAAAGCTTGCCAACAGCTATCAAAGATACAATCACTGGTCTCTACTCATTAGGAACAAACACGAAAGAAGAAATCTACAGTCTCGGAGCAAGATTCATCTATCTGAAGGCAGAAGAACCAGATGGCACTCACCAGCTACTGCTTACCATTCTGATCAGGGCCACAACAGATGGACCCAGACGGACAGGGAGAAGACACAAAACAAAATTCAAAGTCTTAAAAAGTTCACATTTATCCGACCAATTCAGACTACCACCCTGAGATCCTCTTTAAAACTTGAACAGAAATTATTCCCTGAAGTTACATTTTAGTGAAACATCACATTTGCACCCAAAATAAGACACATTACCTGTAATTATGGTGCTTCATTAAAAAAAGACCATCTATAGGGTCAGTAGTTACTCTAAGATGAGAAAACAAGGGGCAGGGAACCTAAAGCCCATTGAAAAAGAATGTTGACTCATTGTGAAAATGAAACTAATGCCACTGAACAATTTATACTGAAACTGTCAAACAGGAACCAGATTTGCAATGTATCCGTGTATTGAAAACACAATATTATTTCCAAAACAAACATTTAATACATATGGCAAATGATCCGAGTAATTGACTTTTCTGGTGCATATATGTACAGTCATAAACATTAAATCTTCCTTTGGGTATTCAAACTGAAATCAAGTCAAAGAAATCAAACTTGTGGCAAGATTTTACCTGTTTTCTACTCTCAAAAGAGGGATAATTATAGCCTCAGTTTTTTTAGTAGATCAGACATTCCTAGATGGGAGTGCATTCCAGTTTTCACACCTATTAAAGTGGAGACACTAGTCCATTCTAACTTGGTTACATTTTGTAAGCACTCTAATCATGATAAACAAAAAATTCTTCTGAGCTTCCATCTTAAATCTCTGCTATATCAATTTGCAATTGCTCTCTCATATTTCCTCTCTAAAGACATTGTGGAACAGGCAGTTACTCTCCTTACACCACTGACTCCTATACAGTACAACTCGTGACAACCAGCACTCAAGAGGATGGCCTTGTTTTTTGGGGTCCCACAGATTTTCCACCTTTGGTTCAGTCTTACAACTTTCTATTGCTTGTTTTAGTGGGAAATTCTTGAATTTTCCTTGTCTGTCATGATTTCTGGCCTTACTATACAATCATTTCCCTTTTTAGTATTCTCAAAATCATTTATTAAAACTGTGTATCCTAAACAAAATATTCTCCATTGTAGAAGTCACAATTTGAACTATAAAAGAAAGGCCTGCTGTAATATACACCCATTCCTTTATCAGCAACTCCAAGCCGAACCCCACAAATGCAAACATTAACATAACATACCTCCTCCTTTCCCTGGCTTCTGCAGAGGAGTCTGCTCCAGTAGTTAAGAGTACATTGCCCGTTGTCACCCCATTGGCAGTGCTGGGTGGAGGTCGATTGGTGATCACACAGAGTGGGGTGCTAGAAGAGACATTGTCTGCTGTTTTCTCCACTGACGAGTCAGCCTGGGATTTGTAAGGAGTCCTGAAATTAAAAAAGACACACGCAGAAAAAGAACGGTCAGGTCTGCCAAACAGCACAAAACTGGCTCAGAGACAGAAGGGTTGCAGATTGTTGGGGTCAATCAGAAAACCTTCTTGCTCAGATTTTAGGTGGTGGGTGGGTTTTGTGAATTCTGAAACCTTACACTTTGGAGCAGTAGCATTCCACATTCCACCTCTCATCCTCTGCCTGAGGAGTTCTGGTTTATGAAATATTTTTGCCTGACACTAAACAGACAGACAGACAGACAGACAGACAAAACCTTAGCTATGGCACTGGTTCCGAGAGTGACACATGAAGAGTGTTCTAAAGGACTCCTCAGTGCCGTCTGATGGCTCTGTGTGCACAGACAGGGCCTCCCCACATGAAGAAGACGTTCAAGTCACTTACACTGTAGCCTCCACCTGCCCTTGAATTCTTAGCAGTGGGCGTCTGTGTGGTAGTCTTCAGTCTAAAGTTGGAGACCACCTTCTTGGATTATCCAGAGGCATTAGACAAATGCTCTACAACCTAAGTGTGTCTGATTCTCCCTCACCTAGCTCAGCAATTGCTTCCTTTCCACTGAGCAAAATGTCCTATCTATATTTATAAGTGCCAAAGTGAGAAATTCAAACAAAAGGCACCAGGATTCTATATGTAACCTTAACTACAGATTTTTTTTCAAACAGCAAGCTGTATAATTAAACTCGTTTACATGAAAACAAGGTCTTTGTTTCTTAAAACGAGAGTTGGGAGCAACCATTGGCTCTCCACCCAAAAAGCTATCATTTGTGATGTCACAGCTTGTTGCTGGGGTAACAGAGACCCAAAACTGATACAGACATGAGAAAAGCACTGAAAATAACCAGTTTTTTAAAACTTGTTTTTCACCTACACAAAATTATTACCAGAAAGGATTTACAGATAGTTATGGATTTGCTTCCAAATAATCACAGCATAGAATAAGCTTGGTGGGAGGATAAACTTAGGAGGAAAAAAAAGCTAAATATGGTATTTAGATGCAAGTATAAAAATAGAATAATCTTGAAGATGGCGATGATGTCTAAAAAAATACAAGCAATTAATGGCTCAGAAAAAGTGACAGTTTAAATTAATCTTTTAATTAAAAAAATGGAAGGCAATGAATTCTTCTGTCTTATAAGATACACAGGGAGAAAGATGAGGTTGTTTACTTCTGCAAAAATTTAAAATCCCCAAACCCAAAGGGGCAGTTCTACTCTGTCCTGGGGGGTTGCTGCAGTCAGAATCGACTGGACTGCAGTGAATTTAGGTGTTTGGGTACAGGATATGAGTCTAGAGGAAGTATCTATAAAATTATCCCGAAACAAAGTGAATTAAGAAATTATATTTATCAAAACCCTAAAGGTTATATTTAGGATAACCCCATGTTTTGGTATCTATGCTATAGCACTGTAGGCTATTATGATAAAAAATGAAACAATAATGAAAGTATTTCTGATGTTGAAAAAATGCCAGGGATTTAATTTAATTAAAGTGCATAGCAGAACCTTGACCATTATTTTGAAATGTGGTACAATTTACAAAGGAATTGTTAAGAGAACAGGAAAAGTTGCAGAGAAGGGATTAAAGGCTATACACAGGAATAAACAGAGGCTTTGAAATATTGGTGGCACATTAAGTGGGTTAAGCATTAGGTAACGAACTCTAAAGTCAGCAGTTAAAATCCACAAGTTTCTCTGTAGGACAAAGATGAATGAGGCTGTCTTATAAAGTCTCAGAAATTCTATGGATCAGTTCTATTCTGTCCGATAGAGCTGTGGAATCAACTCAATGGCAATGGGGTTTGAAACCACTTGGGGGTAAATTTAAGCCAAGGAATGTATTCTGTCTGTTCTCTTCTGTAAAATGGGAAGGGTTCTTGTGATGCTTAAATAAAACAACGTATGTGGAATCCATGAAATACAATATAAACACAATGGAAGCAAAACAATGAAATTGCCCAGAGCTTCCAAATGGACAGCCTTGAATTGAGTTCCTACTTCAGTTCCTTACTAGCTGTGTGGACTTGGACAGATTAATCTCTGGTCTCAATTTCTTCATCCGTAAAATGACAATAATACCTCTACACTGTCAGGGCTTGTTCTGAGACTATACATAATACATGTGTGCCTGAGACAGCTAGTTTCCTAATTCATTCCCCTTTTCTTCCTCGTGAACAGAACCCCTGAACCCCTGAGGGCAGCAATGCACCTAGTTTAAAATCCACATTTCCCACAATCTCCCTGGCCAATACAAAGTAAAACCAAACTCACTCTCATCAAGACAACACTGTCTCATAGTGACCCTAAAGGTCAGGGTAGTATTGCCCCAGTGAGTTTCCAAGATGGTAACTCTTTATAGGAAAAGAAGCCTCATCTTTCTCCTGAGGAGCTGCTGATGGTTTCATACTGCCGACCTTGAAGATCATAGAGCAACTTGCAACCACTACACCACCGGGGCTCCCTGACCTTGAAGATCATAGAGCAACTTGCAACCACTACACCACCGGGGCTCCCTCTGGCCAGTAGAGGTTATGTGAAATACAAACAGAACTGTTGGATAGCACTTCTGGGAAATTTCTCAGTTCTGAAGCACCTCCTCTGTGCCCTTTCCGTGGCCTTCCCGCTTGCTTCCTTCTGCCCACAATGCAGCCACAAGGCTAGAGCTCCAGGAGCTATTTCAGACCATAAAGCAATCATGCAAATGAAGGTATGATC